GTGATAGTCAAGAAATTTCTCGTTACAGTCGTACGGAGGGTATTGAGACCCGGACTCATCACTAGTGGTCAGCAATACTTGCAATGAGACCATACATACAATTATTAATAACATTTTATGACAAAATCAAATCTATTATCAGTTTTAATCTATTAATTATAAATAGTTAGATCATAGTTTGTCCGTTATGTGTAAAACAATACATTCAGATTATGCTTGATTACACACAATTTGAAATTTTAATTATAAACACATTTTATCTAGTGCAACTAACAATGTAATTCAAGATATTTGTTTTTCATTATTTATAGATAATGTTTTTATATTTAGTTGATTTTTAAATGTTTACAAATTGAGTGAATAGAAAGAATCGGATGAATATCATAAATATTAGCATATCCAATGAAATTCAATGAATTATGTTCTTGGTTAAGTGTTAATGGAATATTAAGGGTATATCTTAACTTTGCCCACATTATACAGCACTGATAGAGTGTATAAAATAAATAACTTTTTAACCAAAAAACATTTTTCAATTTACAGGTATTATTAGCTATTGTATTAATGGTGTTGTTGTTATTACATTAATTATTACTAGATGTGCACTGATGAATTACATAAAACTTTTATATTAATACTACAAATATTGATGCGAAAATAATTTTTATTATTAATACAAAAATAGTAATACAAATGATAACATGAAATACATAAAAGTATAGTTCAATTTAATAAATGGCAATTGACTAGAAATGAATTTATTTATACAATGATAATGATTATAACTGTTAACACAAAATATTCTCACATTTAAAAACATTTATAATTCAAGAATTTTGTCGTAATATAAAATAATCAATTATTTTTGTCATATGTCTAAATATGTTAACGTAAATTAATTGATACAAAAATTTTACAATTATATTTTATGGCCTATAAATCATAAACATTTCAATTAAATGAAATCTAATGATTTGTGTTTTAAAACGATTTTACAAACAGTAATAGAAATTACATTAATTTTTATGTATAATTTTAAATGTTTTTTATATAACTTATGGGTACTGTATAATAAGTTTAAATCATTAAAAAACATAATAACTAAAATTTTTGGTCATTTAAATCAATGCATAATAAGTGCTCATAAATTATACTATAAATTATTTAAATGAGAATAATAATTATTATTAAACAAGATAATTTATCACTTTTCAAGCGCCGGTATGTCTGTGAATAACTTAACTTTTAAAAAACAACTATAAATATGTGATACAATCACTTAAACCAAACAAACAACAAAATAATTATTAAGATATAAACAATCACTTGAATCTTAAGCTCAATATACAAATCAACCCCAAAAACTAATCCACATATCATTGGTTTAAGTGCTTAAGGGCTGTTCAATAGGTAAGTACACCGGGATTTCCATCATAAATAAAAACCAAACCCTTACATACTCTCCCCTCCCTTAACACCTCGTATACGTACTTATTGAACAAACCCTTAACAGACAAAATCTACTTATTTTAGGTGTCTATACATATCACACATACTTTGAATACTTAAAGCCCGTATTGCCTAACCAGGGGTACGTTGATGGACACGCCTGGCACGTACGTAGTGTACGCGACCCGTGCTTACCATTAACGTTACACACAGTCGGATGATGACACGGGTTGTCCACAGGCTTGACCGGGCAGTGGAAAGGCTCAAAATTATGCAACTGATCCAGGGTAGTGGGATTCCGCATCCACTGGATCATTTGCCAATTGGTTAGGAAATAGACGTCGTCTTTCTGGATAATCTCATCCAGGAACTTCAAAAACGCTTTGCGATGGTGCTGGGTGTTGAACCATGCTGAGTGGTAAAACAGGTTAAACGGTGCCCGGTTACTTTTGTAGTGGCGATTGAAGTTTTTAAGTAACATGTCGTAAACGCCGGGTTCGTCCGAGGGGTTAGTACAGGCGTCGCCCATCGAGCACCGGCCCCCACGCAGGTCCTGCCACATAATCATACCCACCTCCCAGAGCCCGGGGAACGACTTCGTGGGACAGGGAGGTATCATACACTCGTGGTTGAGCTGGTAGTCCAGGGTGTAGGGGAAAAAGGGCGGCGAGTTTTCAAACACCGGTAGCGACGAGTCGTACGTGAAGTTTGTCTCGTATAGCATCTCAAACATCCGGTTCCCTCCCGTTTGGAGGAAAGGCGCTCTCATACCGCGGATGTCCTCCATGGGTACCCCACCATACATGTGGATGATCTCTCGCTGGCCGTTCACCTCTTTGATCCACTCCTTGGGCGTGAACTTCTCACCGAAACTATGCCTAAAAAGCGCACAGAATTTCATTACAAAACTCACAGAATATTCTGTAAGCCATGCGATCCTTACGTGATTCCGTGTGAGGCTATCTCGTGGCCCCGGGCGTGCAGTGTCTGCACCTGTCCGTAGTCTGTCCACTCGTGCGACACGTAGAAAGTGCCTCTAATGGGACAGCCGTTCGGGTTGAATCGGTTCTCGAAGATGTCTTCGTATATCTCCCAATTGAGATCATTGACGGCGTCATCGAAGGTAATCAACACAATCTGCGGGATCTGTTTGGCCGACAACTTCGCCGGGATGTCGGAGCCACCGCACCGGCAGTCCGGGAGCTTACACTTCTTGGCGTCGCACTTCTCGGCGGTGGATAGGGGTGTGGGCGTCGGGTGTATGGGCTTCGGACGGGAGGCGGGCTTTGGCGGCGCCTTCTCGTTGTCTTTGATGATGAGCCGCCGGTTCGTGGGTCTCGGCTTTCGACCGGTGCTGTACAGGGATGGCCTAAACGGGCGGGAAATACAACAAAAAAATTACTTAAATAAATAATTAACTTATTTTTTAGGCCATACCTTGTGATGGATGGTGGTCGGGCAGTGGTGGTGGTCTGGTAGCTCTTATACGGAGTGGTAGGTATGGTGTTGGTATAGTTGGCGCCGTTGTAGTCCTCGTACTCGTACTCGTACTCAATGGCCGGGGGCTTAGGGGTTGTGGGGGTTATCCTAAACCTGAGTCCACCGCCAACCCTACCCTGTGTGGTGGTCGGGAACACCCTTCTAGTAGTCGGCGGAAGGGTTACACTGTTTTTGCTATCAGTAATATCCTCGTAATAGTAGTCATAATAGGGACCACTGGGGAGTGTAGTGGGCGGGGGTGTTGTGGTAGTAGTCGTAGTCGTCGTAGTAGTAGTTGTTGTGGTCGGCGCCGGCTTTGGAAACGTATTGTACAGCCGGTAGGAGTTCCTCTGGGCTTTCGGTGCGCCTGTGGTGTAGTAGGGTTTGGGTGTCGTGTGTGGGCTGTATATCTCATTCCTGGCGGTCAGGGGTATGGAGTCGTAGCTCTCTTTGTAGGTTAGGATGGGCTGCAGGTCCGAGTAGTTCCGGCGCTTCAAGTCATTGATATTACGGATATTTGTCTCAATGTGTGGCAAACTATCGGACAGTATTTGGTTGGACCCGCCCGTGAAGTCCAGACTCCGAGCTGACGGCCCCCTCTCTGTCGACGCCGACTCGTCCTCTAACGTTATCAACGGCTTATACCCCACGTATCGACCGTTTGGGGGCTGAGGTGCCGGCGCTTCGGTAGTCGTTGTTTTTACTCTACCAAACCCCTGTCCCCTATTAGACTGTCGCGCATTGGGCGCCACCCTTA